AAAAAAAAAAAAAAGAGCCGGATGCTTTAGTTCTATATATTAGAAAGGGAAAATCATGGTTACTTGATAATTTTAATACTTTTGTCATCTGAAAGAATGGATATTGTTTTTAGTATCAAAATGGAATTAATATTGGGGTTTTAAATTAGTTTTTCATTATAAGAGTTGCAAACTTATTAAACCTTAACATCCTAATCCCTTTTTTGTGCACTTAAGAGTCATGAAGTAAAGGTATTCTTTCAAAGCTTGTCATTTGTAATTAAGTTTACAACTTATTTTTCATGTATGATTGAATTAAGTTATGTCGAAGTAAATTATTCTGCACAAGCTCCCATTGAAGCCAAAATTTGCATGGTACATGTTCTCACTACTCTAGCTAATAACGAGGGGAAATTGAAAATGATGTTTCCAAGAGATGAAACAATGATTAATGGTAACTTATTTACATTTGTACTACTTGCAAGTATTTCCTTTCATGTTCTACTGGTAAGTATCCCTCTTTCATCTCGACACACCCCTTCTCATATTATGCAAAATCAAGACTTGGAAATAAAAAGCCTTAATTTTTTATTAAGAGATATAGTATTGTGGTTAGGACATTTTTTGTGTAGTCGTATAGTATTGTTAAATATTTATGTATTTGACAATATTTTTTTAGATTATTTTGTTTTAAGTTACAAAAAATTACAGTAAATTTACAATAATTTTATATATAAAATCAAAATTTTCATTTTGAATCTTTTTTATTGTGATTTTTATAGAAAACACCTAATATTTAATATAATTATAAAATTACTCATTAAAATCAAATTTCTTATAATTTAATTACATCATAATTTATAATATTTTATTAATAATAACAAATTTAAAAAACTTAAATTGTTAAAAAATAATAAATATTATCTATTTTAATAATTATATATCTTATAATATTATTTAAATTTTAATTAATAATTAATAAAAATCTATCATAATATTTTTAAAAAATAAACAACTAACACCAAAATAATTCTCAACTACAATTATAATATAATATAATTGAGTACAAGTGTAATTATAACTATGATCACAACACTTTACAGTAATTTTAAACCAGCCATAGTAAATTGATTAAGGAGAAGGTGGTTCAAAATTAAGTTTCTTATCCTTTTGTTATTATGTAATAGTTGGGTAAAGAAAAACTCAAAAATCAATTGATGTGCAACTAGGCCTTTGATATTATAAAAAAAGTATTGGCTATACGAATGATTTCATGTATATGTATCAACTTTGGAGTTTGAAAGACTAATATTTCGAATAAAATTACAAGCTATATATATAGAGTAATCTAAGAAACTAAGATCTCAAAATAGAAAACTTTTTCTATTAAGAGATATTTGAGCGCACCTGGCCCTTGAGGCCTAGTGGCAATAGCCATCTCGGTTCATTCCTCCTTTTTCGGATTGGGTTCGAAACCCACTCTTTGCAAATATGTTCAAAAAAAAAAAAAAAAAGATATTTGAGCGAACTAAACAATTTCTTCTACCATAAAAATAGTCATATAGTCAGATAAGCTGTTTGAATTAATTTTTTTGAAATAATTTATAGGTAATATTTAATAACTGATAATTATTGACATTTATAATTTAAAATATTTATTTTGTTTAATTAAAATTAACAACTATTCACTATTTTTAATATGTTAACATTAACAACCTATGGCTTTCTAAACCAAGCATGATTAATTATAATCAACAGCTGCAACCTTCCACACTGAGTCATGATCTCCAAGTTATACTTGACCCTCGCCTCGCCCTGTATCGGACTCAATGACCGTCACCGTTCTCGGCGAAGCACAGGGGCTCTGCCGCCGCTTTTTGCTCAGAATCCCCTTGAATGACAGCATCCGACTCATGGGTGATCTGTACGAGGACTGACTAGTCGCTGAATCACACGCACTTGACTCGCCTTCAAACCCCTCGCCGTTCCTACTCGGAACTTCCACTGACAGATTCATTCGTCTCCCAACCGACGACGTACCTATCTGTTCATTCTCGTGCTGACACGAGGCCGGACCCGACTCTACTCCTGTTGTTTCTTGTATGGTGAAAGCTACATCAGCTGGGTTCGCCGGCACCGGATTGTATGCCTCAACCGGGGTCCGGCAGAGAGGGCAAGTAGAGTGAGAGTGGAGCCACATGTCAATACACTCTATGTGGAAACTGTGATTACACTTGGGCAGAATCCGACCCGATTCACTTTCTTCGAATTCCGACAAGCAAACAGCGCACTCCATGACATAATCCGGATGGGTTTTGGCGGAGTACGTGAAAACGGGGAGAGACCTAAGGACACGAGCTTCGAGGCCACTCTCAACAGTGGTGGCGGGATTATAACCCTGGTCTACATGGAAATCGACGCGTGTCGGAGCAGCGGCGTTGCGGCGGCAGGCGAGCAAATGACGGGGGCGAAGGCGAACGAGGAACCGGCGAACGTAGAGGTGGAGAGCAAAAATGGCAACCACTTCAATCAACAAAACTACTAAGGCGCTGAACAGTATGATATTGGCGATCATGTAGAGATTCATTGGTAAGGTTCAGGGGAGTTTTAGTAAGGTGTGATAGCAAAAATGATGAAACAAGGGTCGTCTATGTCTTCTGGTGAGTTTTGGTAGCGTTCCCTTGTATTGGTGCATTTGGTTAAGCTTATTGGTCCATTAAGTAGGTGTATTTAGTTGTCACGATTTTAGGAGAAAAAAAGAAAAAAATACAGAGAAGTTATCCAAGTTCAAACCCTGAAAATTCTAAGAAAAAGACCGGACTTTAACGAAGAAAATAATAATAATAACGAAGAAGAAAAACATGAAGTGGTAGGTTGACCTTATTTTAACTTTTTCTTGGAGCGATGTAGGCTATGATTACAATCATCATTAAATTAAGGAATAAAAAATTATTAATTTTTTTAATTTAATTGTTAAAATAATTAGTATTTATTATTTAATAAATTAAAATATATTTATTAATAAATATTGTTAAATATTATAATTAAACTGTTTTAAAAAATTTATAAATTAATAAAATTATGATTAAATTAATGAGCTTGACAAATTTAAGTATTTAACAGTGGGCAAGCTGTCAGTGGGAAGATCCAAGGAAATTACTATAGTTGCACAAGCCCGACCAATTCGG